ACTATTTGTGATGATTTTATGACCGAAGCCAAAAGAGAGATGCAGTTATTATATAAATCCAGTTATTTTGATTCCTTAATGATACCATGAAGGATATTTTAGCAACTTTCCCCAATCTTTTGTTTAAAAGACATTTTGCAGGACAAAGTATTTTTTTTCAATACTCTCAGTTCCATTAATGATGATTAAAGCCCAAATTTCCATAATTAGCAAAAATTTCCTTTTCTAAAAAAAACCTGACAGACCTCATCTCATTTGCATAATTTGGGATTGGACATATGGCAGGCTTCTGGGGCTTAAATGGTTTCTTTTCATAAGACTTGAGGTACCGCCCACTGCAGGAATCCTGAAGTCGGTGGACAGCCTCTTCGGAGATACACATCTAATTTTGAGTGGCACCGTGATCAGAAGTGGGGGGGGAGAAGTGAAGAAGTGGGTGCAGATCTAGCAGCAGAGCATCCAGATGACAGACACTGCTTGGCCTGGCTCTGAGCCATAGATCCTCGAGTTAAGAGATAATCATAATTTTGTATTGTTTCAAAGATCAAGATGGAAAAATAACCCAGCTATTGGTGCCTAATCTCCATCCTTCCACCTTCCCAAGAAGAGAGGTTAGACATTTTAACTAGTGATGTTAGGAGTCCCAACAGATGAACCAACTGCTCTATTTCTAGAAAGTAAACTAGAAGTAATTTGTTTACGCCGTTGATGAGTGGCTATTGTGTGCAAAAATGCTCAACTTAAGATTCTGGGCATTAATTTTCAGAGAAACTGGAGGGTGAAGGATGTTGCAGGGCTACTGGTAGAATCTTTTCCATATAAGCCCTCCTGAAAGCTTTAGTGCTGGGGGGGCAGCATTTGCCAAAATGCTCCCCCCCCCATTTTTTTTTTCAAGTCAAGCAAGAAGCCCCTGAAAGCAAACTGAGCCACAGTGAAAATTAGCACTTCTGACCTATTGACGGTTTCTGAAACTGGGGATCTCTGTATTCCGAGACATCAAAAAGATCTTTGGGAATATATACCTCCTTGGACATGGGTATTCTATATCTTGTCATTTCTGATCAACTTGGGACTGTTTTTGAGTTTATTTTTGAAATACACCTTGAAGGTCCTTATATAATTGCTCATAGCTCTATGTCAGTAAATATAAATGGAAACAAGAAATACTTTTCTCTTTATCTCTGTCTCTGGGGAAATGGACCTTAAAAGAATGTCTAGTCCCATTGTTATGGTTAGCCAACCGAGGTATGGACCATATGGCTCCAAGAACTTTGCAAGGCTCAAGCAGCCTCTGTGACCTGCAGGTCACCTGACCCCTGGCTACTCAAGAAACATCTATCCAGGATGGGTCCAGATGTTTTCAGTGCTTGAAGAGAAGGCTGCATCTGGGAAGGAGCTCCATGGGGCCAGGCTACTGTCAGTGTTTTTGGCTGAATCAGATGTGTTTGCCCTTTTGCTGCTGGCACAAAAAGTCATACACATTTTCATATTTTTTCAAGGGCAAAGTTAGTCAGACAGACTGGATACTAACAAAATATGTATATAAAACCTCTGGATTTCTTTAGCCTTCAGATACACAGGTCAGTACTTACAATTCAGGAGGTCTGTAAACTTGGATTTTTTTTTTAAATCATTCTCTCTACAACCTGCTAATGGAAAGTTAACATTTTCTTCTCTTGTGAAAATGAGAAGCAAACACATGACTGTTAGGAGTTCATCATGCTCACCAGGTTTCCAAATGGTTCTGGAAATAGCTGAAAATGCTTTTTTTTTTTTTTAAATTGCCCTGTTCTGTCTGTATTGTTATTCAAAGCTTCTAATGGGGATTGGATCACAGTATGAGTATTAAGAACCCATGTTGGTTTAAATAAAATAATTAAGGAAAACTAAAATGAATTGTGAATTTGACACAATTAATTATATATCACCCAGGTTTAGGTGAGAGAAGGGAATTTTAATTTCTAGGCTATGGTACAAGTGCTCCCACACTCAGGTTTACTATCTCAGTTCTGAGGTGTGGATGATAGAAATAGTAAGGAACACAGTTTTGTGTTCAGCCTGTATGCTGTGTTTTAAACCTTTTGGGGGTTCAGCGCAGACTCACTTGAATACATTCTTCATTTTGTGTCATGGTCATACTTGAAATTCAGAGGTTATACTTGAAATTCACTGAAGTTTGCTTACAACTGTCCAAAGATGAAGGGCAAAGGAAAAGAAGCCACCAAAGGACCAGATAGAAGCACCTCTCATTAAAGGGCTTACTAAAGAGAAGCAAATGAAGTATTGGGAGGGAGGGGAAGCCAGAAAAGGAGATGAATTCTTCGAGTCTAGTTTTAAAATTGCCATGAAAGACCTTGGTTTAGGGAACATACGTCAAATGTCTCTTCTCCTTAGGGTGTGAGTGTGTGTGTGTGTGTGTGTGTGTGTGTGTGCATGCGAGTGCTCTCACAGAATCTGTTTGTAATTGCCCAAGTCCTTCCTAATGCAGAGCAGAGAGATACAGGCTATTCAAAGCTAGAGAAATTATTGTGGAAGTTAATCCCTTGCTAAATCCCTTGCCCCAAGCAGGGATGAATGAAGAATGTACCAAGCTTTAGAAAATAAGTCAATTATTAAAAATGTTAAAGCCTTATTTATGGAGTGGGAATGTAGCTCAGTTGGTAGAGGACTCGTTTAGCATGCATGGAGTTCTCCGTCCCTTTAGCAACCCCACATTAATTCATTTGTGGTGGTGAGCATCTATGAGCTCAGCTGTAGACTGGTAGCAGCAGGAGCCGAAAGTTCCAAACCATTCAGGTTCTAGACCATCCTGGGCTGCACGCGATCTTGTCTCAAAAACAAAATAAAGCAAAATAAACAAAGCAGAAGCCCTTTATTCACTAATCTTGGAATGTAATATCCCCAGGGAGGGGGCCCTTCCATCAGTTCTGTTAGTGTTCTATGTAATTTCTTCAAACTTCTCACTTCTATTAAAGTTTTTGTTGTTGTTGTGTTTTTTTTTTTTTCAGTCTTTGGAATTCTCCTTTAAAAACACAAGGCAGTCAGCGACCTGGGCTAAGAAAGCAGCAGAACCTAGGGCAGACAATTGCCCCACAATTGTCCTCAGTTGGTCTTCCTTGGCCAGCTGTGATGGCAATTCTAGACTTGAAGGCCAAGGATACAGTCAGCTATGGTATCCCCTCTGCAGAATCCTAAAGACAGCAAAGACTAAGGTTAAAGCTTGGTCAACAAGTAGCCACAGACCGTGGGAGTAATCCCAGCCTCCATTCATAGAAACTTCATCTGGCATCACTGGACCCGCAGATTAGCACCCTGACCCATACCCTCCAGAGCAAAGACCTCTTCCTCCTATTTGTATATTTGTGTGTCCAGAGCCTTTTTGTTTTTCCTTTCTTTTTCTTTTCTTTACTTTTTTCTTTCTCTCCCCCCCCCCCCAGCACTCTCAGGTAGATAAACATGAGGCATGATGAAAAGAGACAGTCTGAAGTGAGTTTGAAACAAGACTTCCTCTCCCCTCCTCATGCCGTCCATTGGCTCAATCTCGCTAGTCAGGCTGGGTTTCTAGGGTTTCTGCTTTCAGGGGCGCTGTCACCGAGAAGAGGAAAACATAGGCAAGGTTAATTGGGAAGAGAGTAGAGAAGAAGAGGGTGAAGAAAGCAACAAAACTGAAAGGCAAAGTGTGGTGGTGATGTGGATTAGGTTTGGGGAAAATGAGAACGAGGATGAAGGGGAGAAAAATAAGGGGGAGAGGAAATTTCAGAGAACGAAAGCGAATGAAGTCGGTCCCAGGTTCGCTACTCTAGGAGTTTCTCTGATCCAGGCAGTCTGCAGACTTCTTTTCTGCATTGACCCGGGCCCTCTCCTTTGCAGTAAAACTTTCCAAGCTCCTTGAGGCGGGTCTGGTTACTAAAATGCCTAGTTCTGTGTTTAGCTCCTTCTCCCGGAGTCCTCATAGGTAGATGCAGAACCTAACCCTGCTCAATTTCAGAAGCCCAGTAGCAAAACTCCTGCTTTCTGGAAGGGATGAGGGGGTTAGGTGTACAGGATTCCTGCCTGAATCAGAGCGCATGAGCAGTAGAAGCGTGAAATGCTATTGGGGTTGGGGGAGGGAGAGAAAGGAAGAAAGGAGGGAGGAAGGAAGGGTGTGAGGTGTGGTCTTGAGTGGTGTAGTGAGTTTTGGGTGTGTAGAGAGAGAGAGAGAGAGAGAGAGAGAGAGAGAGAGAGAGAGAGAGAGAGAGAGAGAGAGACCGTCCTGTTATCACTGACGTCGGGGCAGACCACTGGCCAATGGGCGACATGGACGATTGTTCTCACGGTGGCCCGGGGCCGTGGCCCCGAATCTATTCATTTCGTTAAGCGCCCCTGCTGCCGTCTCTGCAGTGCCTGGGATTTCACACAGACATTAAAGACACGGAAAAGGGCGGCGGGGGGGGGGTGTGCAAACCCAAAACTTAAAGAAAAAAACAAACACAAAACCCACCACTTTGCATAATTTTTTGTTTGTTTGTTTGTTTCTTTTTTTTTTTTTTCTGTTGTCTTTTCACCGCACTGCCAGGCTGCAGTAGCACTGGCGGCTGGCAGGCCGAGGTTCAGCAGGAGGTCCTTTCCAGGCCCAGTGGGACACTGAAATTAATATATACGTCTAAGATGCTTCAAAATCACTACCACTTCCAACTTCACCACCTCCGAAATGACCCCTCCTATCACCTCCTTCTTTGGCCCGGAGCACCCCTTGGTGTTGGTGGACAAAGTAATCTTGAGATACGGGTCTTACACCTCTGCAGCAGAGGCCGTGCCCCCAGGCACCCACAGACTCAGTCTTCTTGCCTCTCCCACCTACCCCATTATCACTACCCCTCTCCAGCTCATGGCGCGGCAGGGGACGGCAGAACTGCAGCCTAGCCGGACGAAGGCGGAGGCTTTTTGGCTTGACTTGGTCCGCCAGGTTCACTGCTGGCACCGACTTGCTCAAGATCCCAGCACCAACGCCAGAATCCTAGATGCGGCTGGGCAGGGCTTGTCCCCGGGGGCCGGGGAAAGTGCGAAGCCCACTCCACCGGTTCTCATACACGCTATTTGTCTCGACAACAGGTAGCAGCTGCGGACACCATGGACCCCAGCTCGCCGCCGCTTCGAGCCCCTCGCTATTTCCGGGCCTTCATGAGCAGCCTCCTCAGGTCTCCCACACCCGTCGTTTGAACGGACTCCTGCGTCTGGGGCTCCCTGGAGACATGTATGCGAGGTCGGAACCCTTTGCACCGGGGCCTACGGCCCGCAGCGACACTTTGGCAACAGCCACAGCCCTGCATGGCTATGGTGGCATGAACCTGACCGTGAACCTCGCCGCACCCCATGGCCCTGGAGCCTTTTTCCGCTATATGCGTCAGCCCATCAAGCAGGAGCTCATCTGCAAGTGGCTAGGCGAAGACGGCCCAGCATCCCCGCGCCCCTGCTCCAAAACTTTCAGCACCATGCACGAGCTGGTCACGCACGTCACCGTGGAGCACGTCGGTGGCCCAGAGCAGGCTAACCACATTTGCTTCTGGGAGGAGTGTCCGCGACAGGGCAAGCCCTTCAAAGCCAAATACAAACTTGTAAATCACATCCGCGTGCACACGGGCGAGAAGCCCTTCCCTTGTCCTTTCCCAGGGTGTGGGAAAGTCTTTGCTAGATCAGAAAATCTCAAAATACACAAACGAACACATACAGGTCAGTACCCAGTGCTGTCTGTCTAGTGTGACCCCGTGGGACACAGGCCCTTGGGTCTGAATTTCCTCAAGTTCCAGTCGAGGGGAGGAGGGAGGCAATTTTTGGTTTTGTTTCCTTAAGCCAGATTTATAAAGCGGTAATTAACAGCTTCTGCCTGTAGACTCCCTGTTTTCCGGAGGCTGTGTGGAAAGAGTGGTCCCAGAGTTCTGGGATCCCTGTTGGTAAACGGGCGCTCCTAGCTTAGAGATTTGATGTGATTTAGGATCTGGAGCTTGGGCCCTGGGTACTGAGCTATATCCCCAGTCCCTAGAATTTGTTGTTAAGACTTTTTTTTTTTTAAACAGCATGGCATCCCCACCCTAATCTTAACTGAAATGGGAACTATTGTCTCACACTTGCAAGTCACTTTTGGAAACTCTTTCCCGTTTTAGCTTTGCCATCACCTGGACTGAGGGGGTCATCAGATCCTTAATACCTCCTTGAGGATTTATGAGCCTTGGGGGCCTACTTTGGACATGCTTTTTGCATTGTTGGCTCCGCGGAAGGGACTTTTTTTTTTTTTTTTGGTAACCCTCATTCTTATTTTAGTAGAGACCCAACGGGACCCACTGCCTTAAATGTCATTTACCGAGCTGTTAAGTGAAATAGGGACATGTGTCAACCACATCTGTTAGCTCTAGTTAACAGAAAGAAAAGGAGCTCGGTGGAGGAGGCTGAGAGTTGAACTCTTCTGGCCAGAAGCATCTAATTAATACAATTGCAAGAAGGAAGTTTTCACACTTTCAGAACAGCCTGTGAAGTTACATTAATTAGTTTAGCAGCCACCCTTTGACTCTCCTTACTCCTCCCCCCCCCTCCCTTGAAGTTTAAGAAGTCAGCGTCTTCTCCCCTCCCCCATCTTGGAGGCGGGAAAAGGGAAGAAGGACACAGAGACCGGAAGAATTCCAGCTTGGTACTCCGGTTCTCCAGGCGGTAGCTTTGCTTTCTACAACTCTTTTTTAGAACAGCAGTCTTTAAAAGAGTCAAAGTCCCCAATGGCTTCAGTGTGAGGGAGGAAGCTTGCTGAGTCTCCTTACATTCTGGTTTCTCCGAGAGGTGTAGGGGTAGAACATTGCCATAGGCTGAGGCAAGACCAAAGTCCACTTTGGATCCCGTTCTGTACCCCCCTAGCATGTCTGCAAACATCTTGTACGGTTTTCTAGAGCTCGCTCTGCTATCTCTCACATTCATCTGCTCCTCTCTCTCCCCGAGTTATATTCCCAGGGACCGAGGGGCGAGTAAGACCATGGTCCCAAACCTCAGACTTGCTGCTCCAGGGGCTGCTGGTTGCCAGCACCTGGAAGGTGGATGCACAAACCGGGGCTGGAGAAAGAACTCATCTTTAGTAACAGGGATTTTGAAGCAAACAAACTTATACTGCTCTTTGCCGGCCCACTGTTTGAAGTCTGGGACGCAGAAAATGGTTAAATTCTTAGCACAATCGACCTACATCAGAGAAGCCCAAGGTTGCCTGGCTGGCTCTCAGGTTTGCATGGAGTCAAGGCAGAATTCTGCGCGTTCTTTTCGGTCTCAGTCCTGATTCATTACAGCTTGAGTTAAACGGAAAAAAAAAATAGAGGAAAACAAAACAAACCCCACAGATCCACCCCTGTTCCAGAGTCTTTCTCAAATCTCCTAAGTAATGCTCAAATCTCCTAAGTAATGGGAAGAAAAGGAGGAGGCAAAGCAGCAACAAAATGTTTCTCAAATGGCAATAGAACTCTCTACAAATTATTCATGAAGACAGTTTTCGATTCAACAGGAAAATAATTGCCTTTTCAAATATTAATGGCGTTTCATTTCCATCGAGTCGCAGAAGCGGCGATCAGGAGCAGATTTCTTAGCTGAGATTGTCCCGAATGTGACTCCCAGGCCTGGCTCTGGAGGCGGCGGGTGAAGAAAGGTTTCCCTCTGTAGCTGTGACAGAGACCCAGGAACAATGGTGCGGCGGCGGCGAGGAAGGCGCGAGCCAGGAGCGCGCGCGGTGCCAACCTCCCTAACTGGCGTGCCTCCCGGGACCCCTACCCTGGGCTCTCCCCACCTTTCCCCGCAGTCAGTCAGCCCTGGGGGGAGGGGGGGGGACACACAAGCCGGCGCCCTGGCCGCTCTGGGGCGGAGTCATCGCTAAAACCGACCCAGCCACAAGTGCGAGAAAATGGCGCTGGCCGGGCGTCCTGTAGGCCAGGAACTTTGCACCCGCGGAAGGAGGCATTGCTCGCCCGGGAGCCCCGGCCGAGCACCGGGGCCAGGGCCCTAAACGGGATCCGGAGGTTTGCGGCCTAGGCGGCACAGCCAGGACTCAGGTCGTCCCGCGGAAGGCAGGCCCAGCACGGAGCCGCAGGGTCCACCCTCCCACCCAGGGCGTCGCGCAGGGACGTGGGGGAGGGGACGGGCGAGGAGTGGCGGGGTGGCGGGGGTAGGAGGGGTGTCAAGCGCAGGGACCAGGGCGCCTCCTGCAGCTGGGGAACACTAGGGCCCCGGCTGCACCTGGCCTCCCAGGGGCCTGCTCTCTCCCCGGTACTGAAGAGGTTCAGTACCTGCTACTTCTTCTTCTTCTTCTTCTTCTTCTTCTTCTTCTTCTTCTTCTTCTTCTTCTTCTTCTTCTTCTTCTTCTTCTTATTCTTATTCTTATTCTTATTCTTATTTTTTTTCCCTCTCTGGTTCTCGTCTGGAGCGAAATACTTTTCTATTTTACATGACGAGACGCTGGAATGGGATATGTGTGTAGCTGAAATGAATATATACAAATACTTTTTCTTTCTCCCCAAACCGAACCCGATGAGGGAATTCTATCCTTAAATTCTAACCTCAAATTCTAACCCCCCCCCACTGAACGCGAAAAACCTTATTTCCTTTTGTAGTCTTCAAATGATTTTCTTTGTAAGTTATTTTATGAAGAGGAATGGAGAGGGAGGGAAGAAAGTTTGGGATTTGCAAACGCTGGTGGAATCAGAGGAGAGAAGTATGGGGACAAATAGGGACACCGATTTGTTCATTACACACCTCCTCCACTTTTTCATAAGACTGGGCCTTGTTCTGTAAAAATGGCAGCGGGCAACATCTTCCAGACGCCCCTAGCGTGCCAGCTGCACTCCAGCAAGGGTGAGCGCTATCGGTGAGCAGTGCGGGAGAGACGGATTCACCCGCTGTTTGCCGGAGCCAAAGGCAGGTTACGTGTAAATCTCGGTTTTAACTTAAGCGTCAACGCCACAGAGGAATGGGGGTCTTTGTTGGTTTTATCAGCAAAACTTGCCTGTAAACCGCGGGAGAAGAGAACACAAAACCGACAGCGGAGCATCTTGCTCTCGAGTCAGTGGCTAGAGCGATTCTTGCACTCCCTGATCACCCCCAGGACCTTCATCTGCTTAGAGCACAGACACCTCCCCCCTTTCCTTTCCAAAACAATCTCTGCTAAGCCAGTGATTTGAAATTCCATAGAGCAGCAAATTTCAGGCGGCAAGGAACTCCTGGAATGAGGTTTGGCCCAACCAATATTCCCGAAGCTTTGTGCATTTCCTAGCCTTCCCGCAGTTCTACCTAGACCAGAGGTATACCCGGTGCTGAGAGGAGCCGGACCTGGCTTGAGAGTAGCTGGCACTCCGCCGGAAGCTTGCCGCACTCAAGGGCGATAATTTCAACAGAGACTTTTAAGATCTCCCTTGGCCTAAGCCTACTTTCCTATACTGGTTTCTGGGCTCTCCAGCCTGCGAGGTGGAACAGGCGGGCGGGGATGGTCTGGGGAGGACCATAGACCTGGAATTGTCAGTTTGGACTGAGAAGGGGCGGCTACACTTGACAAGGTCTTCGGTGATGCTGACGAATCCGTATAATAAAATATTATAATCGCCAAAACATTATCTTGAGGGATTTCGGATGGATTCGGCTCTAAGATTTGAAGAATGTTGCCGTACATTTCAGTCGGGGGAAATCGGAGGAGAAAGGGGCTCTATTTCCTGGCAAATGGATTCACCTTTGAGGTGAAACATGGCTCAGAATATTTCTCACACTACGCATACGCTTATGTTTCCACGGTTCATCATCTCAAATCCTCTCACTGCTTTGGCACTTGCACAAAACCTACTCTAGAAAACACTTTGGGCGAGGATGGAGCGTGTCCGGCGGATTGCTGGGCAAGGCTCACTAGGACAGAGACAGATGGCCTGAGCGGCAACTTCAAATCCAGCAAACGGTGAACTCCACAATCAACTAGATTTTTTGGCAAAGGTGCTTCTGCCCTCACGTAGATAAAAGTTGGACGACAAAAACGTGTGTGGATCAGGGTTCTCTAGAATGGCAACGACTATGATGGAGTCATAGTCGCTCCTCCTCCGACGCCCCCCCCCCACCCATAGGCACAGGACGAAGAGGGGGAGGGGTGGCAGTCTGGGGGAGTGGGCTGCGTCTCCTCATTGGGTGGGGGAAGGGTGTCAGACCTAAAGCACAGAGAAAAGTAATTTCTGAAAATCTTTTGTGGATTTTTTTTTTTCTGAAAACAAAAGAGCAATGGGAGGGGTACAATCCGGACCACTGGGACGCAGCCCACATCCTTCTAATGTCTCTGCGTTACCTCCCCCAGGCGAGAAGCCCTTCAGATGTGAGTTCGAGGGCTGTGAACGGCGTTTCGCCAACAGCAGCGACCGCAAGAAGCATTCGCACGTACATACCAGCGACAAGCCTTATATGTGCAAGGTGCGCGGGTGTGACAAGTGCTACACGCACCCCAGCTCTCTGCGAAAGCACATGAAAGTTCATGGTCGCTCGCCGCCACCCAGCTCTGGCTACAACTCCGCAATACCGTCTGCTCTCACGTCTCCCTCGTTAGAAAGCGGCCGTGAGCCCCCGATAGCCTGCACAGCGGCGGTGGCGGTGCGTGGCACAGATGTGAGCGAATGGTACGTGTGTTCGGGCTCCTGGCTCGGTGGAGGCTGACTCTGCAGCGCCCCCACCCCAGCCTAACACCACCTCTAGGCCTAGCCGCAGCCACCACCGCCTCCAGTATCAGGGCTACTTCCCAGCGTGCTGCTTTGGTTTAGGTCGAATGTAGGCCCGGCCACGGAGGCTTCAAGGAGAAGGCAAGAAAGGAAGGGAAGAAGGGCAGGCAAACAGATAGACCACCACTAAAAGTTATTGGAAGTCATTGATTATGCTGATACTAGATCTGTATACAAAAACATAAATGTGGTCATTCTACAGTCACATCCTGTAATGAAATCAATGTCTGGGATAAAGAGACAGATAAAAACAACATCAAAAAACTTATTAGAATTTATTCACAATTCTGGCAACTGCGGGTGGCAAAAGTAAAGGCATAAATTTTCCCAGTGGGTATGTAAGGGTGGGAAAAATTTTCTTTGAGGCTTGGGCCACTGCCTCCCCAAATCCCAGTCACAGACTCCTTTTTCCTCCCCTCCCCTTACCCATCAATCCCATCCACAGGAGTTCAGAGCCCAGGAGGTGGCAGACAGAATTCCACAACCATTTCCTTGCCGCCCATTTGTCTTTTCCTTTGCCTCCATACCCGTTTCTTGTTCCTCAGCTAATCTTGAAAAACAACAACAACAAAATAAGCAAGTGACAACAACAAAGAACCAGAGAAGTCCTGCATTTCCCAGCCGCCTCTAGAAGGCAGATAAGTAAGGGGGGTGGTGCTCTCCCCTTCTCTTGGGATGCCACGTACCTCCAAATCCCAATGCCTATCAGACCCCATAGAGAAGTCTGTTCAGTCAGACCTCAAACTCGATTTACATTTTATACTTGCTGTAGGGAGTGAGCCCAAAACAATAGGGAGCATGGACAAAAGACCGCTAGAAGGCTTTCAAGAATTCTCACTTGTGAAGCGTCCAGGCTTCCTTTTCCCACCCCCATCAGTTCAGGCACTGCTGTAGAACCTCATAGGCACTCGAGCAAGGGATATGGAGCAGAAGGATGTCATCATTGAGTCAAGGTCTCCACGGCCAGGGATGTATGTACCTTAAAGAACAGCATCAATTCTAATAGCCGTTGTCAGAAACAACACAATGTTAGCCTTATTTTAAAAGTTTGTGGGCACACGAGAAACAAGGTACAACGACATTATTATATAACAAACACCCAGTGGGCCTGAAGCGTTCAAAGTATTTGATGTGCTGGTTATGATGTCCTGGGGGGGGGGAATCAGGTATTAGTGGAGGTAGAGAGCAAGGGCCTCTGCAGTTGTCAAGGGGGAGAAACACAGGGGTTTGCTTGTAGATTGCTACCCTCTGGAGGGAAGAAGGAGCTGCCTCAAACTCTTAGCTAAGATCGAAATAAAGAAAAACACCAAAGGAAAGAGAACGGAGGAAAAAGGAGAGAGGGGAAATCAGGCAGACTTGTCTAGGTTTCTACAGATGTGAAATAAATATGTGGGAGAGGGGAAGTATTTCTGCCCCCAAAGAAGGTCCCAGGAACTCAATTTTACAACCTGAGTCCAGAGGCTTTGGGGATATAACCCTGTGGTAGTGGTAGAGACTTGACCACTTCCCATGAAGCTCTGGGATTATCCCCAGTGCCACCCCAAAGAGGCACATTGGATACAATAAAAGCTGGACAAACAATTCTTAGCATAAGAACTCGGCTGGCTGCATTGTCCTCTACCCCTTCCTTCTCAGAATCCAGTAAAAATTCTCACTCCATTTCCACAGATCCCATAACTTCTGTCCAGTAAAGTAGTCACGTTGGCTGGAATGGGATAGTTTCTAAAGTATCTCTAGTGAACCTGTTGTTGGGTTATCACCTAGCCCAGAGGCAGCCTGGAACAGTCAGTGGAAGTAAAGAACTTGTTCCCATGGGCAAGCACTGACTTTGCTGCCAAGGTACACAGAGCATTTGTGGGACTTGAGCCTCTGCTGATATTTTTAAAGCTACCCCTCCTCTAGAAGGACTTTTTTCTTCCTCTCCTCCTGTTTCAAAACACTTCGTTTTGCTTTCCACCCCAGTCCAAAATAACAAAACGAAATAAAAATATTTGCCTGATCCCTAATCGCCTTTAATTTTTCATTTGCTTGTTACAGATGTTTTTTGCAAGGTAATCTTGCCCTGCGCAGCTGAGCGCCCGCAAGATGCGGCAACAACATCAAAGGGCTTTCTCACAAAGCAGTGTTTCTTCGCCACGGTGCATCTTCATGGTAAGTTAGGATTTCTATGGCAATGGGCAAGTCTCACTGAAATCCTGAAAGGCCGAGCCTGGAGCCCGTCCAGGCTTTTCATTAAGGACATAATATTTACGTCTAACAGGCCTTTTTTCTTGTGTATACAAGTATATATTTTTGTTTGACGCGGACTAAATCATTTTCATTTAATTTCCGGTAAACAAAACCCACGCGAATGGGCACTTGTTCCCGATCATAATAAAAATGGATAATAATGCGAGGGAAGAAAAGGGCCGCTTGAATCGCCGCTCAGCCTTCTTTGTTTCTGCTTTCTGCGGTGATCAGAGGGCGTATTTGGGTTTGATGGCGAGTTTCTAAAGGCGAGGAAATGGTTTGTAAGAGGGAAAAGAAAAGGAGAAAGGTCCAATCAAGCTCGGGTTGTTCAAAGAGTCGGGTTTTGGGGTTGAAAGTGTGAGTTTGACGGTGCATCAGCACGCCGCGTTAGGCTCGCCATGGAAATGCGCGCGGGGAGCGGCCGCTTCAAAGGCGGCACACTTCACTGCGGACACTCTATTAAGATACATTTGCGCTGACCTTTGCTTTCACGCCATTTAATACTGTCACTGTGCTCTCCAGTATATACTCCTCCCAGGACCTGTCTTGCCAGTGTTTAGGGGTTCATCCTGTACCCTAATGTAGGGGGGCTTTGGTACCCGGGATTCTTTCAAGAAAGGGAGGAGGAGCCGGACACCCAAGCATCTTGACAGCGCCCATAGGCCTCAGAGCCCCAGAGTCAAAGCAAATGACTTGGGCACTCTGTGAAGCTTACCAAAGGAGCACCCCCAGCTCAGCTGTCAGCAACACTGAGCAGAATGGAGACCTAAAACGAAGGTGGCCAACCTGGGGAAGTGCAGGAGCTGTGAGTTACACTGTGTTTCCCAGAGGTTCTCTACTGCATCCTCACCCTAGAAGGCTTGCAGGCCCTTAAACTTTTTTCCTCCAATGTGCCACAGTGTGGTAGCCTTAGGTTTGGGTTGGCTTTGGGCACAAACTGAAAAGCCCAAGGCCAAGGGGATAGGGAAGATGGCAGCAAAGTTAGAAGTCCATGTTCTCTTAATTGTCTTGTTGTTTATTTTATCCAAGTACCCTAGTGAATAGGGGAAAAATAAACACGGTGGAAAAAAAAATCAAACAGTAGAGTCTTCTTTAGTGCCCGTCCTTGTGGTTGAATAAAAAGGATGGTCTGCCTTCTATTGAGCTGAGAAATCTTTGAAGTGGGAGTTATTATCTGAGACATTCCTGCTTGTCGTCCTAACAACGCTGATGAAATGTAAAAGGTTCTTTGTCAGCGATTTGTTCTCCTCTCTGTCAAACTCACTTGGCCCCATCGGTTTCAAACCATTGCTAAAGAGATAAAATCAAATTTCTTAAATGAAAGAAAAAAATCCCTACACTCCACCAGTAGATCACTTTAGGAATAAGTTTTTCTAAGAGAGAAGGAGAGAGAGAGAGAGAGAGAGAGAGAGAGAGAGAGAGAGAGAGAGAGAGAGAGAGAAACTAAAACAAAAAAAAAAAAACTAAAAACACTGTGTAGCTTAAATCATGGTGATGTGTGTAGATATTGAAAAGACCTTTGCACCAAAACTGGTACGTTAGGTAATGCAAGAAGGTGGCGGCAGAGGGTAAGTGTCCCATGTCTAAGATCCTGTGTTTGTGCTTTCTGGCCTGGCCTGTATTCCATCAGCCCAGGTCAGCTAACTGGATGGATTCTCTTGGAGATTATTCAGACTCCAAATATTCCTACCTGGGATTCTTGGAAATTAAGCCTGGAGACAAGTGATGTTAAGTTTCCCCTCTTTTGAAGAAACTTCTGCTATAAATAGATCCATCGTGTTTCCTCACCACTGGCAGTAATCTGCTCACACCTTAATCATTAATCTCCAGGATGGTAGCATGTAGGCGAGAAAATTATAATATTTCCTTCATTATTATTATCTTGGAGTTCAGAACGTTTGGTTTACAAGATAGTGACCAAAAAGTGCATGCACACGCCATCCCATTCCCTATGTGCAGTTCTTCATTGTAATATGGTGCCTAGAAAAGAAACTCTGTCCCTGTTCAGGTCTTCCTAGCCTCCTACCTGTAGTTCTAAAGGTGGTTTAAATAAATAAGATTGTGCCCATCACCCTGCCTGATTTGTGAAGACCCTTCCCCAAGTTGTAACCCCTGTACTCAGTTAGCGATGCTGCGAAAGGTCTGTCTCTTATATTGATGTTGTTTGTTTACTTGATTCTCCATATGTCTGTATTGCTAATTTATAGGAGAATATAATGATTGCCGTGAATGTGAATTATACAGTCAGGCAAATATTTTATAATCATCACTAACATGGACTGACAAGGGTCTGAGTCAACCCTTAGGTTATCGGTATCTTGTCTATCCACTCTGTGATTTAAACATCTCTCCCCTTAACAGCAGTTGAATTACGAACTAACCTGAAAGGAAAAGGCTGTTGTGTGCATTTGACAGTGACTGTAATATAAAGACAAAGTTGGAAGCTGAGGCATAGTCTTCTTGAAAACATGTACATGTAAATGAAATAAAGTCAGTTGTCTGCCCCAAAAGACTTTGTGTGCGTGCGACTCCTTTTTGTTGTGTTATTGGGAAATAAATGATTTGATGTTTTCCTTTCACCTTGGAGTTCCAGTGTCCAGTTACTGCTTCATCATCTTACGAGAGTTTTGAGGCTCTCTTAGAGCCTGGAGTCCTCTTCCTTATGTTCCTTCATGGTTCAGCAGGATTATCTTTGGGCCTAGCCACTTG